AAAGCACCTTTTTACATCGATTTCTTGCAATAATAAATAGCCGTTTGTTCTCAAGAGAGTTGTTCTCTCAAAAAATATGAAAAAAATGATTACGATTGGATATAGCAGCCGCATAAGAAAGAGAAAACCATGGAGTAGAATGAAGCTTGACTTGAAACCGACGAGAAGGAATAAAAGCTTTCATTCCAGCCTGAATCCAGGAGGTTACGTAGGAGGCGCATTTATCAGCTGAGAGAGAAAAAACATCAGCCCAAGGACCATCACAAAGAAAATCACAAAAAGAATCCCAGTCAGCTTTAGGGTAGTAGTAGGTGGTGCGATGATAAGGTGAGCCCAAAAAAGAAGTACGAGAAGAAAGATTTATAGAGATCATTGCATGGTCAGAACCACCTAAGGGAGTAAAGGGAGAAACTGAACATAAGCTAGGGTCAGAGACAAGACATAAGTCAAGGAGTGAAGGTAAATGATTAGGGTTGTCAGGAAAACGAGTCACAAAGTTAACTTCTCAATCTCTTACTCAGATAGTTATCTATCTGAGTAAGAGATTGAGAAACGCAGAAGTTAAAGGTTTTAGTGCCTGCAGGATCAGTGGTGTTAGAGCCAAGCCATTCAGTGTGATGGGCATTAAAATCACCAACAACAACAATATTGGCAGAGGGGTAAAGAGAGAGGGCATGGTCAATTTGATCAGAGATAACATCTAAAAGAGTCCAATCATGGGAAGAAGGAGAACGATAAAGAACAAAGAGAAAGGTGATAGAGTGAAGAGGTGTTACGCGAAAGCACATAAAGAATGGTCAAAGGATTCGAACCTGATTTCACGACAAATAGGGGAATTAATGCGAATGTATAGTCCTAAACCTAGCATGTGACTATTGGAGTCTTTACAAATCAAAGGATATTACCCATCAACACTGACATCTGAAGAAGGAATTGCAGAATTTAAATTTGTTTCACTGAGTGCAAGCAAGTCTGGTGAATTTTGCAGGAGGTGAGACTCAACAGATGGAAAGTTGCTTCGCAGACCGCGAATATTTGTAAAAGATATATTAAAGCACTTAGGTGGTGGGGATGGTTTTTTAAGTTTAAAATTTTTGGTTACTTTTGTCATGATTTGGGTTTAAAGGGATCCCAAACTCCCAACACATGTTGTGTTCATATTAAAGATAGTGTTAAAAAAAAGGTTTGAACCAAATTTTTTTGATTAAAAATAAATAATGAATACATAGAGTGAAAAACAAAAGCTGTTGTTTTTGCCGAAGCTCGTCTTCTTCATTTTTTTCAACCACTCGGAGTCTTCAAATTATGCGTCGCAATCTACAAACTTTGGCGATTCCTTTGAAGCGCGTTTAATTCATAAAAGTTTTATTATTTGACGTCACGGTAGACTTTTAACAAATGAAACTCTAGAAATATTTTTATTTATTTTTATTCAAAATTTTTTTGATTTGTTTAGTTGTTTTTTTTCTATTTTTAACACTTAAAAAGATATTAAAAACCTCAAATTTTTTATGCTGGTTCGTTGCTATAAATTGTTATTGCACCGTATATTTAATTTTTATAAATTATGAATATTTATTATCTCAAAAATTGTTTTACATTAATTGCCTGTATAAAATTAGTAACAGCTTTTTTATTTGGTTAGACGATATTTCGTTTCAATTTGCTTTGCATGAAGTTCGGAAAGTCAAACGAAAAAAATTAGTTTGAATAATCGCGTCGAAATATATTTAAAACAAATTTTTTTAATGACGGGGGTTCTAAAGTTTTTTATAACAAATGTAGGTAAAAAAATAAATAACTAAATAAAAAGTTCAGTATTAAACAGCATTTCTTTATTATATTGCAACTGTAAATATTGAATTATTAACTTGAACTAAATTTACTTATTATTTAGAACGACTAAGCAATAAAAATAAAATGCCTCTAAAATTATGCGAGATTGTGTTGTTTATTTAATAATTGTTGTTGGTAATGTTGTTTATGTTGAATATTTTCATAAACATTAAAATAGTTCCATTCTGTTTGTTGCATTGCTCATTGTTGATTTATTTCTAATTTAATTTTATCTCAAACTATAATTATATGTTAAAAAAGAAAAGTTTTTATTTCATCGGGTGCTCTTTTTATAAAAGAGTAGAACAAAAGAGAAAGAAAAGTTTCGCGCAATTAAACTTTGAATGAATAAGAGTTGTATAGAATTTTTTTTTTTTTTTGCGTCACTTGTTCTTTTCTTAGATAAGAGAAACAAAAGTTTAATAGTAAATTTTCTTTGAATAAATGAGAATTGGAAGAGAAAATTGCTTGAAAATTTGTATTTGTTAATTGTGTTTTTAAAAATTTTTAATTTTTTATTTCATTTCATTTTTTCATTCAAGAGACAAATGCCAATTACGACACAAATTTGGAAATACCAAATAAAATATGTTTTTTAATGCGCGTTATGACATTTTAACAATTTAAATTACCATCTATCTTGAATTATTGACTTTAATTAATGTATTAATTATTGCGTTATTTAATAATTATTTGTCCGTATTTTTGTTAAATATTAGTTGTATAAAACGGGCGAAAATATACAAAGTTCATGTTTTTTATTTGATGGTTATAAAATATTGAACAGTAAACTTATAATCAAAATTTATAATGCCCACTTGTGTTGCAATTAATTGTACTTTTAATGCAAAATCAGGATCTCACATATCCTTTTACGAATTTTCATATCTGATACTACTGTCAACTGTATTGTTTAGTGTATTTTTGTACTTTTTTTTCATAATCTTAACAGGTTCTAATTGGTATGGAGTGCCTGACATTTTAAAAATTTCATTATCAAAAATCAAATGTAAAATAAAATGGTATTTCAATTTTATCCGTATCCAATTCAGCAAAATTAGCAATTTAAATTAAATCAGCGTGATCAAAAAAATTTTATAATAAAAAAAGTTAACAATTCATTAAATATCTCTAATTAATACTGTCAGTTTATGAAAGTAATTGTTAATAAATACTTTTTTTCAACAGGAAAACAAAAAATTGTCATAGCGTATGATATAACCAGAGAAGTTAGAAAATAGTTCCCATTGTTTAAATAAAAATAATTAAGAATCAGAATATATAATACTGCGCTCTCTTGCGCAAAAACAAGAGACTGTATATAAAACGTTCTATATAATGTAAAATACTGGTATGAAGATCATGAGATTGGTAAGTAAAGCTTTAATATTTGTTTTAATTTAAAAACAAAAGAAATATAAGTAAGATATATAAATCTAAAAATTATTAAGATATCTGTAAAAAATAAGTTGCTCCTATAAAATAAAAATAATTTATTGTTTTTACTTTTTACAAAATTTTTTTTTGCAATGTTTGGAAAAATAATACAAATAAATTTGTTTTGCTGTATGTTAAAAAAATACTACAGTAGAAAAACCCAGCTTAGTTTAATTACACTTTTCTTTTGTTAAAAGTCTACCGTGACGTCAAATACTAAAACTTTTATGAATTAAACGCGCTTTAAAGGAATTGCCAAAGTCTGTAGATTGCGACGCATAATTTGAAGTCTCCGAGTGGTTGAAAAAAATGGAGAAGACGAGCTTCGGCAAAAATAACAACATTTTTTTTCACGGTATGCATTCATTATTTATTTTTAATCAAAAAAATTTGGTTAAAACCTTTTTTTTTAACATTATCTTTAATATGAACACAACATGTGTTGGGAGTTTGGGATCCCTTTAATGAGAACTTGACTCATTCATAGATAGAGCACAGCCTCCTAATCAATGAGCTATGCAGTTGTCTCAGTCCTGTTAATTAACCCTAAGCCGTGACATAGGGCTCCTTATGTGGCCTTGACAATGCACACCAAAAGCATTAACAGGGACACCATCCACGCGCAACATGGCACTGTTAATACTCTGATATTTTGCAGCTGTTGATGGAATCAGCCTCTCTAAAAGCTACCACAGAGTTCAGGAAACCTTACTACCAGCCGGCCTCAGAACCATTAAACTGAGTTTTAGAGCTGTACCCTCATATGGAGATAACAGGAAGAGTTGCATAGCCATTATCAAGGAGGCATAAGCAAAATTCTATGAGTAGAGTCAAGGAGATCTAGCATTCATCATCCTAGGCAGGAAACAATGTAACACAGGTTACATCTACGCCAGCCTAAAAGATGAAGAAGGGGTTCGAGGCTGGTTAACAGAATTTTTCTGCTTACCCCTAAAGTCTTTGCCTAGGAGGCCTTCTACAAGACAGTAGCTGGATGCAGTTAACATCTGCCCAAGATGAGTATTTTTATCGAGACACCATCTCTAGCCTTTACTCAACCAAGAGCCCCAAGGCAGGGGATGTTTAGCTGGATGCAGTTAACATCTGCCCAAGATGAGTGTTTTTATCGAGACTGTTTTTTTCATTATTCTTATTTTTCCAAAAAACCATATAGATTTAAAAATTATTATTAATTTAATTTTTATATTTAAATTATATTTTTAAAATGCTAAGTTTTATTTTTGCAATTTCATTACATTATGTTTTTATAAAGTAATTTAAGATTGCTTATTGGTATATTTAAATTCATACAAAATAAATTTAAGTTCATTTTTTTTTTATTATTTGATTCAATTTTAAAAACATAAACATTTTTTTAAAACTTATTAATAAAAAAAATTTGTGTTTTCATTAAAAAAAAAATAACATTTAACTAATTTCAAGAGATATATTTTCAATGATATTGCTAAAATAAAAATAAATATATAAATATATAATTAAACATAAACTTATTTGAATTTCAAGAAAATTTAAATTTTTTTTTTGAGAACTACCCATATTACTCCATATTAGAAAAAAAAGAATCTCAAAAAATAAATGGAGCCTTCTAAATCTTTTTAAGACCTTTAAATCACCTTACTAATAAAATTATTTGTTAAAATCAATAATAATTTACAATAAATAAATTTCAAAATTATTCATGATTTAAAAAAAATAGCAGCACATACCTCACTGAATCAGATTCATTAAAGTCCAAGGACCAAAATTTTACCTCTCCATCTAAACTGCATGTAGCTAAAACTCGCACATCAGGTGAAACAGCTATACTTGTAATTGGCTATTTAAAAAACAATTTTAAAAACATTTCAAACATTTCTTGTTTTACAAGCAAACTAAAATTATAAATTTACCTCACAATAACAAAAAAAATTACCAAAATAGATTAACTACCTTAGAATGACAGTTATTAACACAAATGACGCCATGTTTTATTTCACTTAGTCTAACAGGCAAATTATCTGGGTAAGCACTTTTAATTCTTTTCAAGTCATAGACATATGCCTGTGTATTTGAAGAGAAGGCTAATATTGTTTCACCACTATCTAAAGAAGATAGTACTTTTGGAGACCAAACAACACGATACATATCAGAGTTAATAATTTGATCTTGGAAAAGAGTCAGAATATTTTTTGATCTATTTTTAGAAATAATTAAAGAAAATTAATTTTATTCATGTAACTTATTCTATGTCATCACCGGCATTGTTTTTTTTTTTAATTTATACTGTATTTTAATGGTTTATTAGCATTTGATTCGAAACAACAGTTTATGGAAAAAAATTTCCAAGGACCATGCAAGGGTCTATATATATATATATATATATATATATATATATATATATATATATATATATATATATATATATATATATATATATATATATATGTATATATATATATATATATATATATATATATATATATATATATATATATACACATATATATATATATATATATATATGATATGAGCAATCAGCTGACAGGTGACAGCACACAGGCAGAATTTCGTTGACAAGTGCCATTTTGCAGCAGACAAACCAAGTGCAACTTTTTAATAATTAAAGAAAGTATCCAGAAGTTTCCAGAAGCATGCAGAAGTTTCATGAAAAAGCATCTGGAAGCATCCAGAAGCATTTAGGAGTATCCAGAAACATTTAGAAGCATCCGAGCATCCGGAAGCTTCCAGAAGCATCAAAAATAAGCATCTAGAATCTTCCAGAACAGGTTCCCACAGGTTCATTTTACTATATAAGAGACATGTAAACCGACATGAAATTCAGCCAGTATATGGAAGTCAATCAGTCAGTATTATCAAGACAGTTTATTGAAGTGAGTTTTATCAAAATGTTTTATCGAAGAACATCAATACAAGAAGTGAAATACAACAATTGTTTCATTACATCGATACAGTCCACATCCAACGAAGACGTTGTGTTCCACAGAGCATTATTGTGTCATCAAAAGGTAAATGTAACACAGTAAGCCTTGAGAGGCGTAATTATTTATTATTTTTATGACTTCAAATGCAAAAATGGTTCCTGACAGTCTTGGATTGGAACTAAGAAAGAAAATTATTGGCGATTACGTAAGTGGAATGTCACAAAAAAGTATTTGTGATAAATATTGCATGAAAAAATGGACTCCTGTTTGCTTCATCTCATATTGATGGGAATGTGCAGAAATGGTGAACTGTCCTGTTCAGTGATGAATCGAAGTTCAACATTATTGGGAGCAATGACATTAGCCATGTACGTTGACCTGCCAGAAAATGCCTCGATTTACGTTACTGCCTTAAGGGGGTATTTTTCTGCTAACGGTCTAGGTCCAATACATCGAATCGATGGAATAGTGGACCGTTTCATGTATAAAAATATCCTGAAAGATGTTATGTTACCTCATGCTGAATGGAATATGCAAATAAAATGGGTTTTTTAGCAAGACAACGATCCGAAACACACTGCAAAACTAGTCAAGCAGTGGTTTCAAGACAACCACATATTGGTGATGGATTGGCCGCCTCTATCTCCGGATCTCAACTCTTTCGAGAACCTGTGAGAGATCATCAACCGCAGAATTAATTGTGAAGGTGTTCGTAATAAGGATCAACTGTTTGAACAAATCCAAAAGGCTTGAGCAGCAATTCCACAAAGTTTCATTGATCACCTAATCGAATCTATGCCTCAAAAAAGATGCAAGGCTGTGATTGACAACAAAGGATTCGCCACGAAATATTGATAGCGAAAAACAGCTTGGTCAACATTTTGTTGAGTTGCATTTGTTTTGTCCAGAGAAATCAACTTTTTTTAATACTTTCGATTAATTTAATAATTTTCGTGAACAAATAATGAATTTTGTGATGAATAAAACTAGAAGAACGTTGTCTCTAAACAGTTACATAGTTATTTCTCTAAATTGAAAAAATGCAGCACTTTTATATAAAGAAACTAAATTAGCATTATTTGGTTGCACTTGTTTTGTCCGACACTGTATATACATTAGTAAAAAATCACTAATCAAATTTGTTTTATTTTACACTGTGTTTTATCTATAAAGACTCATCAGAAAAAAAATTAACTAAACTTAACCTACTAAGACTCCAGAAGGGGTCCAGGGGGTCATTACAGTCAAGAAAGCTTTATTTATTTTATATATATTTATATTTATATTTTTATATATACTCTTGCATGGTAGTTAAAAAGAGTTTCCCATAAACTGTAGTTTTAAAGAGCGCGTTAATAAACCAGACCAGAAAAAGTTTAAAAAGTTAAATTTTTTTTTTTTTTAAATGATAGACTGCCTGCCCAAACCAAACCCTCGAAAGAGACTTTTTTTACATTAAAACGCTCTTTCGACTACACTATAAGGATATATATATATATATATATATATATATATATATATATATATATATATATATATATATATATATATATATATATAAATATATATATATATATATATATATATATATATATATATATACATATATATATATATATATATATATATATATATATATATATATATATATATATATATATATATATATATATATATATCAACCTCAGAATTAGGAAAAATGAGGTCGGCAATAATTTGCCAACCTTAATCTTTTTGAGGTCGGCATCAGGTCGGCAAAAATTATTTGATACAAAGGTCTGACCATAAAACATAGAAACAAGGTCGGCAATTTTTTGCCCACCTTAAGCCGGCAGTTAGTTTGGCATGTATGTATATATAAATATATATATATATATATATATATATATATATATATATATATATATATATATATATATATATATATATATATATATATATATATATATATATATATATATATATATTTATATATATATATATATATATATATATATATATATATATATATACTCTTGCATGTCTCTTGCATGGCATCAAAAAAAGTTTCCCATAAACTGTAGTTTTAAAGAGCGCGTTAATAAACCAGACCAGAAAAAGTTTTAAAAATTAAATTTTTTTTTTTAATTAATAGACTGCCTGGCCAAACCAAACCCTCAGTCGATGTAGCAGCACTCTCTTGCGAGTCAGGCTATTTGTCAGTCGTTGTAGCAGCACTCCCTTGCGAGTCAGGCTATTTGTCAGTCGATGTAGCAGCATTCCCTTGCGAGTCAGGCTATTTGTCAGTCGATGTAGCAGCACTCTGTTGCGAGTCAGGCTACTTGTCAGTCGATGTAGCAGCACTCCGTTGCGAGTCAGGCTATTTGTCAGTCGATGTAGCAGCACTCCGTTGCGAGTCAGGCTATAAGATAGTCGATGTAGCAACATTTACGCATGTTTTAAAAATGTTTTTTATTAAATCAATAACAAAAACACCACTAATTAAAAAAAACTTTCTATTCGTTATAATTGCGGTTTTTTAAAAAATTTTTAAAAAACAATTAAATTTAATGTACTTCCGCATAAATTAATTGCTTTGACATTTCGATGACAATCAAAAACAGCTTAAGAGACGAGGTAATTAAAATTGTAGTCGTAAGAGACTTTTTTTACATTAAAACGCTCTTTCGACTACACTATATGGGTATATATATATATATATATATATATATATATATATATATATATATATATATATATATATACATTAGTAGAAAATCACTAATCAAATTTGTTTCATTTTACACTGTGTTTTATCTATAAAGACTAATCAGAAAAAAATTAACTAAACTTAACCTACTAAGACTCCAGAAAGGGTCCAGAGGGTCATTACAGTCAAGAAAGCTTAATTTATTTTTTTTTAAACTCATTTATTTCATTTTTTTTTTGAAATTCAAACTCAACCCTAAATTCTGAATCACTTGTTAAACAAGATCATTGCGCAATTGTAAACAAGACCACTGTACGAAGAAATAGGCTGAGCAAACCTGTAGATAGTACCTGTGAACCTGTAGATAGTACTTTTATCATGATTATGAAATGATATTAGTTTTTTAAAAACAATTTTTAAAGTTTTTGTAAATCTACCAATTTTGTAAATCTATCTATTACATTTTACAATTAAAATAAGTTAAACAATTCCATGCATATTTAAAAACTTATTTATATTTACTTTTGCACATAAAAAAATATTTGCAATAGTATTTGTTATATTCTTCAAAATGAAAAAGATACTTGACAGTCCCATCTTCTTCTAGAATTTCAAATATAAAAAGTGTCCCTTCTTGATCTACACAGGCAAGAAGATTCGAAGTCAAGGATTCAAAGCATAAATCTATCACTTTCATTGTAAAACCACGAAGTAATACACGCATGGATGTGACAAGATTAATAACACGAACATGATCGTCATTTTTTTTAGCTATGAAAAATAAAAAAGACATCAGAAATAAATAAAACAAAATCTTTTTTATCAAAAATAATTTTTTTTTTATTTCAAATGGAAAAATATTCTTATATTAACATTGTTATATAATATAATAATATTGTTATTGTATAATATTATAAATAAACTATATTATATCATAATTTATATTATGTTATTATTATAAATTATATTGTTATATAATACTGTTATTATATAATATTGTTATTATATCATATTATAAATTATATTATATTATTATATTATGTTATTATATTATATTATAAATTATAATATTATATAATACTGTTATTATATGATATTGTTATTACTGTTATGGTCAAAAAAATCTGACCACCCAATATTTAAAGCAAAAAATCTGACCGCCCAATATTTATAGCAAAAAAATCTGACCACCCAATATTTATAGCAAAAAATCATATTTGCAGTGTATGCATTTTTTATTAAAAAATGTTTTTAAAAAACTTTAAAAACAACATACATGAATATATAACAAAACAAAAATAATTGACAAGTCTATTTCTAATTACGATATAATTGACTATTTATCTTTATTTATATTTATAATTTAAATTTTTTTAAATTTATTTGTTTAATTATTTTAGTTATGGATCCCAACAAAACATTAAATTTGTTTTTTTAATTTTTGTCACCATAATGGAAGTATTTTGATTAATTTATCTTTAACAGTGTTAGTAAGTTTTTTGAAAAATTTACAGTTGATTGCTGTAACAACAAAATAAGTAAAAAATCATTTTTAAGTCTGTTTTTTATCATTTTTAGTTACATTTTCCAATAAATGTTTGCACAAATCTAAAACTTTGATTTTATATTAAACAATTTATTTCAATGTAATATCACTTTAATTTGTAATTGATTTGACATTTAACTTAATTACCAAATTACCTAAACTAAGTAAATTACTTAAAAACAGATTAAATAAAACAACAAAGCAATATAAGTACTAAAAATAAAAATTCAAATATTTGTATTACAAAATAAAACTAAAAAATAAAATAAAGTTTTTACAAGGTAAAACATATGCAATGTATTTATTGTTGCATGACACCAAGTTTCCATTATAATATTTTTCTTCCCATTCAAACTTTGAAATTTGACTAAACTTGATCTAGAAACAAAGTTTTATTTTAAAACATTCATACAAACCATTTGAAACTTAACACTATTAATAAATTTTATATAATAACAATTCAATTTCGAATTTTAAATTAAAATTATTTTAAACTATAAAATAATAAAATTAATTTCAAAATTTTCTTCAATAAACTTTTTTTTAATTATAAAATTTGATTAATTTCTTGTAAACTTTTAAATTAGAACTATGATTTTGTAGTCACTGTGAACCACAATAACCGCCAGGTTTGAAGTCTCCCCACATCCAATTTTTTTTTCTTATTAAGAAGTAACATAGTATATAAATTAAGTAAAGGTATTAAGAACCTCCATAGGAATGGCTAGAATAAATTTTTTACACATCTAAACTTTAGATACAAAGGGGAGGGGCGGTACATCGCTAACTCTATTGAAGTTCATATATTTTACATAATTTCATGAAGAAACCTAATTTTTATTCTGCACTTGTTTACTCCCCTATATAGAGGCATTAAAAAAGTGTTAAAACATTTCTATAACAGATTACATAGGAAAAGAATGTAGGTATAAAAACAACAACAACAAAATGCATTTAATGTGAAAAATATCTTGACTAAGCTTTGAAATGCAAAAATAGCATTATATTTTATCAACACTCAATTAAAAGTATCTTTCATGCTATTAAAATACTTTGGAAATAATTTTGACTTAGTTGTGGATCAACAATATATTAAATTGAAAAGTGAACTTGTTAACTATTTATTAAATGTTGAAAATTCCACAATACTTGACTTTAATCGTTTAGCATAGTCTGGGTGGCTTTGTCGTCTTTTATATCTAATCCATGTCTTTTTAAACTCATGATGAACAGATTCACCTGCTTGTTCAGAATAAATTCCAAGTCCATTATCAGTATTGGTACTTTTTAGAAATGGTACAATATGGTTAACTGCAATATGAACTTTCCACGGTATATTCAAAGAAATGTTTTCAAAGTAAGTATTAATATATTCCATTAAATTAGCATAAGACATCTTGAATTCAAAAACAACAGATTCAATATCACCAATAATTTTTTCTCCAAAGGTTGCTTGCTTCATTGCTTGAAACTTTCTTAAACATTCAATTACTGGTAGTAAATCAAGCTTTCCTTGATCAGCAATATCACGAGAAAGAACATCTAACTTATCTAAAAGTCTGTTGGCATTGTTGCCATCAAATCCAACGCCATGGTAACCTCTGAAAAATATGTAATTTGAGTTTAACCACTTTTCAAAGCCAGGCCATAGTTTTGATAATAGTTTTCCAAATGTTGAAACTATTCCGATTAATGTGTGCAACTCAGGTACTGGAACTAAATTTTCAATTGTCTGGATCCTCTTCAAGATATAATAATCTTGGATTAATAACATTTTTATAATCAGCCATCTTTGATTTTGGTTTTCCAGCTTCTGTGTATTTACTGTAATGATAATCGAGGGAACCGAGAGTTCGTTTTTCTCCACCATCCAAAAGACTCTCTCCTTCACACCACAAACAACTATATTTTCCAGCATGGCTTGTAATGCCAAACATTGAGTTTGCACACTTTAAATCAAATGCAACAGAATACTTAATATTTTGAAGATTAAGAGTATCAACTAATTTTCTAAGATTTCCATTGTGTTCAGACACTCCTTCTACAATAGCAACAATAAAACAACGCTTAACTCCAGCATCATCAAGGTCAGGTTGGTTGCTAGTTTTATCATGCGGATTAAAAACATTCATAGTGACCTTTAAAAAACCTTGACCAGAATCCACAGCAACTCTTACAATTGTAGAAAGAGGTTCAATATTCCTTTCAGTGATTATATCATGTATAAATTCATCAATATCTTTAATATAAACCATCGATTTATTTACTATATCGCCAGCTTCAAAAAATTCTTCTTCTTTACATGAAAAATATTCATTTATTTTTGCTTTTAAAGCCTCTAATTTTTTAACAATATTTCCTTCAATGCTACTTTGAAAGCAAAGACTTTTTCTAAATATAGAACACATTTTTTTGGTTTTACACTGAGATAGTTCTAAACATTTTATAAGCTCAATGATTGTTCCAAAAGATACTTGACTAAAATTAACACGGTCACATTTATTGTCTGTAGTTCCGGCAACAATAGTCAATGGTTTCCCATGAGTAGCAATTGTGAACTTTTCACCTCTACAAATATTTTCCTTTTCCATTTTTGTTTTTAAAATACTTGAAGCGACACGTTCTGCACTTGCTGATCCCAATGCATATGCTGCATTAACTAAATTTTTCACAGCTTGAACATCACTACAAAGATGAATAATGCCTGACTTAACTACTCCAGAACATTTTAAGCACATTCTTTCATTTTTATCTTCATTTAACTCAGAAGTAATAATATTAATATCTTTTGATATTTCTGAAACATCAGAAGTTCTTCTGATATCTTGACGGTTTATCTAAACAAAAAAATCTAAAACTATATAAACTATTAATATAAAAAATATAACACATTAAAAATAAACACATCGATGACATATTACTTCCTAAAACAAACTGTTTAAATGGTTTTTTTTTCAAGTTTATGAAGGTTCATTGAGACAAAGCTTTTTCATTTTTAAAAATTAATAAAAATAAAACAAATTTACTTAATTAAACACTAAGTCTTAAATATAGTTTTTTTATTAATTTTATAAACTAACCTGGGAAATTTGCTTTAGCCACTTATCAAGGTATTTTGTATCGTTTTTTTCCAAACAATAAAGGTTTTTATAACAATTGCTACAAATAACTTTAGAATGGTTTACTAAATTTTGATCATAGCTATCCCAAATAAAAGTTTTTATTTTTTCTTCGATTGCTTTAGATATTTTATGAAGCTTTGCTGACTTTTTACCAAAGATTTTAAAACAAACAGCACATAAATTGTTGACCGCCATTTAATAAAATTCAAGTCGTTGTGCTCTAACATCAAAAAATGCCGGTATTTGATTATCAAATTATAGCTATTTTGTTGAAAATGGCGGATATTTTTAACTAAAAATTATACTTTTTATTTTTTGATTTTCATACATTTTTCCATTCCCCTAGAGGTTTTTACAAACCAAATATTTATTTTCATATATACAACTAAGTATTTATAAAAAAAAATCTGATGTGGGGAGACTTCAAACCTGGCGGTCAATGTGGTTCATAGTGTAGTGGAAGTATGAAACTACAAAATCATAGAAAAATTGAACTATGAAAAACAATACAATAACTTTAGGAAAAACACTCCATGATCTAAAAAACTCCTAAAAAAATAATTTTCTCTGGGATATACCATTCCTGCACTAAAACATGTGTTTTACTGTTTAACACATTTCACTATAGCAATTGTAAAAAAAATAATTGGACTTATTCTGTCTACAACAACTTCTACAACAATTTAGAAGTTGCACATGTATATTTTCATATAAACATGTACATCATATATGCATGTCTATTTTCATATAAATATGTGTATGTATATGTATAAACATGCATATTTTCATATAAACCTCTAATAAATGCCACATTACACATAATTTTATATATGTGAATAAGAGTTTGGTGATATGTGAATGGAGAGACAGTTTCAAACTAAAGTAAAAAAGATATATCTGAATAAGATTTAGGAAAGTGATAAGTGGATAAGATTTAGCAATATAAGAGGATAAGATTTAGCAATGTAATAAGGAGATAAGATTTAGCAATATTGTAAGGGGATTTGATTTAGCAATGTGATAAGAGAATGAGATTTACCAATATGATAAGGGAAAAAGATTAAAAAAAAAATTTTTAAATCAAAATTTTAAAGTATAAAATTAGATTCATTCAGCTTTTGCCTCAGAAAAAAAATCATCCTTTATTATTATTCAATAATAAACATCTCTGAATGCAACCAGATTAAAAGTATTAAATAGTGTCACATGATGATAAATAGTGTCACAGGATGATAAATAGTGTCACATGATGATAAATAGTGTCATAAGATGATAAATAGTGTCACAGGATGATAAATAGTGTCACAGGATGATAAATAGTGTCACATGATGACAAATAGTGTAACAGGATGATAAATAGTGTCACATGATGATAAATAGTGTCACAGGATGATAAATAGTGTCACAGGATGATAAATAGT